CACCTTCAGTGACTCTTCCGCCACAGCGTTTGCTGACGCTGCGGCAGGAAGGCATCATTGGAGCCCCGGCCGTGCGGAGGGACCGATGCTCCAATGATGCCTTCAGGAAGGGGTTGGGGTGCCCACCGTGCGGCTGCACCTCCCTTTCCTTGTCCCCCAAACGGCCCTTTGAGCTGTCTGCTTCCCCCCTTAGTCACTTGTAATATGTTTCTTCCAAATTTTGGTTCAGATCTATGCCTTCAGGGTTTACAGAAGTTACATCTCTGAATGGGGATGGGGGTGTATCTTGGCTCCAGCACATAAACAGGAAAACAGAGAATTAGTTTTCCCTTCTTAAATTGACAACAGGAATCTCGGGGAAGAGTTCTGAAAAATAGGCTGGTAGTTTTCCAGCTGGTTGTGAATCTTAGAGAGGTGTTTGACCAGCTGCCAATCACAAAGATGGATGATACACGATGTTATTCCCTTCTGTGTCTGGAGGGAGCCTCTGAGGCCCAAACACACAGAGTTTCATATAACTTAATATAACTGAGGCTATAACCCAGAATCAGACTCACTATCAGGTTCCGGAATGGTTTAAGCCCCAGAGTCCCTAACACCTGAGCTAAACAAAATAAATGAGACATTTTGTATCCTGGCCCATTACCTCATTTATTTTTAGTTTTGGACTGGGAATGGAGGGCAGGTTGAGTGTGACAAGAAGAAAACAGAGGAATACTATATTCTCATATTGTTCAGGCCCTTGATGCTGATAGTTTCTCTGCCTTTTCTGGAATCTTAGGGTGTTGTCATACTGCAGAAGTGATGCAGTTTGACACCATTTTAACTGTCATAGCTGCATCCTATGGGTTCCTGGGATTTGTAGCTTGCTGTGGCACAAGAGAGATGGCTAAATCTCTCACAAAACTACAAATCCCAGAATTATATAGCACTGAACCATGGCAGTTAAAGTAGAGTCAAATTGCATTAATTCTTCAGTGTAGATGCAGCCCATGAGATATTTGACAGATCTTTTGTTGTAATAATAATAATAATAATAATAATTTTTATTTAATACCCCACCCCTCTGAGAGCAATCAGGGTGGCTTACATCATAAAAATCATCACATGACAATTTAAGAACAATTGCCCCCTCCCTCCTTAAAAAGTTATTAAACCAATTACAATTAAAACAAATTATAAAGGAGGTAAATTTCTCCATAAAATCACATAGAAACCATAACAAAGAAAAAAAAGTGCAGGTAGGAGTAAGTGTGCTGGCTCATAAGAAGACCTAGTTATAGAGGTCATAGAAGGTCATAGAAGGCCATAGAAGGGGGGAGGATCCTCAAAGGGACTGGAGCCTGAGCTGGTAGTTATTCCAGGAAGGCCTGCCAGAAGAGATCCGTCTTGACAGCC